CAGCGATTCACACACTTTACTTACGGTGCCTACTGCTCTTGACTCGATTATCTCTATCTTCAATCTTTGTATCTATACAATTATTTGCCGGGCTTATATACTAAAATAGAGGGCGTCTGGCAAACACTCGGGCCGTCATGATCCTTCTAGAAACTCATCACGTGTTACCAGCGTCACGTGGCTTCCACTGTCGTAACAATATATATGAAGGCTTTGCTGGATTTCATGCAATGGTATACGCAATTTGGAAGTGATAAAGAAGACTAGTCAACACCACTCACCGCCAATTCGTGGGCTACTTTTGACACACCGATTTTTGAAATTTGACCTCCTCTATTATTACAACGCACCAAACAGCTCCAAAGTACAGAACGTGTTTTTTGTTTTGCGGTTGTGGGACGAGAACCACAGCTCCACAGTTTACGCTAACAACTTGGCTAAAATAATCAGAGGAACGAATATAAATAATATATAATGAAGCTAACTGAACATTTCTAGGTAGTTTCTGAGAGGTTTAGAAACGGAGAAAATCACCCTATCAAATGCTGTATATTTGCTTCAAACCCAATAAAGAGTCCTAAAAAATATCAAGATCCATAAAGTTAGAGTTTTCTCTACTTGTCAAAGTTCTCTTAGCATTCAAATATACTGAACTTAAGGATGCTACTAGTTTTAAATAAAAGTCGACATTTTGACTGATCTGACTCCAACATTTTCACATAAGTTTATGTTGAATGTTACAATAGTTTGGTTGGTTAGTCCGTGATTTCCTTTCAGGTGGTTATTTTGTGAACTTATGTCCAGGCTGTAGTTAAATGTTCAAGAATTAAAACGAGTATTACTGTATATACATATGCCATTATATTGTTACGACAGCGGAAGTCACGTGACGCTGGTAACACGTCATGAGTTCTAGAAGGATCGTGAAGGCCCAAGTGTTTGCCAGACGCCCTCTATTTTAGTATATAAGCCCGGTAAATAATAATTGCAGACAGGGAAATATAGAGACAGATAATCG